ATATTACTAAATGAAAGAAGCCAACTTGAGAAGGTATTATACTGTATGATTCCAATTATATGACTTTCTAGAAAAGGTAAAACTATGAAGACAGTGAAAGGATCAGTGGCTGTGAGGGGTTAGGGGGGAGTGAGGGATAAATAGGCAGACCACAGAGGATTTTTAGGGTAGTGGAACTACCCTGTATAATACTATATTCATAGATACATGTTCATAAATTTGCCCAAATCCATAGAACAACACCAAGAGTGAACTCTAATGTAAACTATGGAATTTGGAGGATAACGGTACGTCAATGTAGGTTCATTGATTGTAACGAATGTACTACTTTTGTGGGGGATGTTGATAATGGGGAGGCTATGCATGTGTGGGGGCACGAGGTATATGGGAAATCTCTGTATCTTCCTCTCAATTTTGCTGTGAACCTAAAACAGCTCTTAAAAAAAACAAAGTCTTAAAATATGCACACTTAAAATGCCTGCAAGGAACTCTCCATGGACGTGTTGGGTATAGTTTTGAGAAACAAAAGGGCTCAGAAGACTGTCAAAAATCAATATTAAAATAAAATATAATAATGTATAGTAAAACTAAAATTATGAGTGGGCCAGGTCTCACATTTCATTATTAGCATGGAATATTCGATATTTAGAGGCTATTGAGGAAGTCAAATAATCATCAGAAAGTTTTATGGTGAGCTTTGAAGCAATGCAATTGATTTTTTAAAAACTAACTATGTCTGTGTTAGTAATATAAGCTAACTGCTGTAAATAAACCACCCAACACCTCAGTGGCATAATACAAATAATGTTTATTTCTTATGCATGACAGTGTCAGCAGAGTATGGGTGAGAGACTCAGGGTCCATCTAGACATTCAAAGATCCAGGCTCCTCCCATCTTCTGGTGCTGCCTTCCCCTACGTCCTTGGGGTCTTCTCTAACAAGCCAGCAGATAGGGAGAGAAACAGAATGGAGAAGGCAAATTGTCATTAACTGCCTTGATGTGAAGTTGTCATAAATCACTTTCATTATGAGAACTGGCCTCATGGCCCCACTTACATGCAAGAGACACCTAGGACCCGTGGTTGCTGAAGAAGCTCAGGACACTGTCATGTAGCAAGTCCAAATAGATAGACTGTCACCAATTTACAGCTGCTGCATCGGGGCAATTTTCAACAGGTGGGCCCCTCCACACTGGAGACTATGGAGGTGGTTGGGGCCGGGCCACAGGTCCACAGGCCTGGAGGGCTTTACCGCCCAAGGATGGCTGAAGGTGTGTGTACTGTGCGTGCACCTACTGCACAGTTCCAGGGACCTGGAACACAGCACTGGTTGGGAGAGGCCTTTTCACAGGAGCAGGATATTGGAGACACAATGCATCAGCCTAATTCCAAACGCTAATCTACACAAAGGCACATATTCCTTCTGAAGACAGAGCAGCAGGAGTCTGTCCTGCCTTGCCAGAGCCGGGCTCGCTGACTGGCTTGAGGCCCATGATGATAATCTAATAAAAGCTTGGGAGCTGGAGAATCCTGGGACCCCGTCAGGCAGCAAGTCCAAATGGGAACTGACTGTTGCCAATTTGTAGCAACCACCTTAGGGTGATTTTCGGGGGCGGGGGGGGCTACCCCCACCACACTGAAGACTGGAGGTATTTAGGACCAGGGCTCAGCTCCACAGGCCTGAAGAATCCAGCTGCCGCAGGCTGATTAACAGCGTGGATAGTGTGCATGCGCGGCCCGGCCAGCTCAAGGTAGCCAAGTATTTGGAACAGGGCAATTGTCAGGAGATGCCGGGTGACAGGACCGGGATGTTTGGGTAAAACTTTCTGCCAAATCACAAGCCCTACCTACCCAATGGGGAATACTCCCCACTGAAGGCAGAGCTGAAAGTTATTCAACTGCCTTGCCAAGGAGGGGCCCAGAAGGCTGGCCAATAAGAGACACCTAGGAGCCTTGGTTGCTGGAGAAGCTCAGGACCCCATCATGCAGCAAGTCGAAATGCGGACTGAATGTGGCCAGTTGAAAATTGCTGATTCAGAATGATTTTTGACAAATGGGATCCCTCCACCCTGGAGGCTATGCAGGTGGTTGGGGACCGGCCCGAACTCCACAAGATTGGAGGACCATGGTGGCCAAGGCCAGCTGCGGGGTGCACACTGCACATGCGAGGGCCATGCAGTTTATTGTAGCTAGAAATCTGGACCCTGGCAAGTGTGGGGAGTGGCCGGGTCACTGGAGGGGCTCTCAGGGGACAAAGTGTGTGCAAAATCTCAAGCCCTAACCTACCCAATGGGCAATGTTCCCCCGGAATGCAGGGCTCAAGGTTGCTGGACTGCCCTGCTAGGGCAAGGCTGAGAAGGCTGGCTGGGATATCTTCTGAAAATAGACGCCTGGGAGCCCTGGTTGCCAAAGAAGCCTGGAACTCTATCAGGCATCAAGGCCAAATGGGGACTGACTGTTGCCAATTTGCAGCTGCCACCTTAGGGTGACCTTCACTGGGTGGGCCCCCTGCATAATGGAGACTATGAAGGTGGTTGGGGCAGGCACCAGTACCACTGGCCTGAAGGGCCCCTGCACCCCAAGGCCAGCTGAAGGGGTACAAACAGCATGTGCATATACAGTGCAGTTCACTGTAGCCAGGGACCTGGAACAGAACACAGGTCAGAAGAGAGCAGGTCACAGGAGCAGGATCTTGAGAACACTAGGCGTCTGCCTAATTTCAAGCCCTAATCGTCACAAAAGTGCATACTCCCCCTGCAGGCAGAGCTGAAAGATACTGAACTGCCATGCCAGGGCAGGGCAAGGCAGGCTGGCTGGGGTATCATCTAGTAAGGGACACCTGGGACCCCTGGTTGCTGGAGAATCCCGGGACCTCCTCAGGCAGCAAGTCCAAATGGGGACTGTCTGTCACCAATTTGTAGTTGCCACCTCAGGGTGATTTTTGGGAGGTGAGTTCCCTCCACACTGGAGACTATGCAGGTGGTGGGGCCGAGCCCCAGCTCCACATGCCTGGAGGGCCCTGGCTGCCCCAGGATGGCTGAAAGGGTGCACACTGCGCATGCACATGCCGAGCAGTTCAGGGCAATTTGGGATCCGGACCTGGGCAAGTGTGGGGAGAGGGTCACAGGAGAGGCTCTTGGAGGACAAGGCATATGCCAGCTCACAAACCCTAACCTACCCAGTGGGCAATATTCCCCCTGAATGCAGAGCTCAAGTTTACTGGACTGCCTTGCCAAGGAGGGGCCGGGAGAGATGGCTGGGGTATCATCTAAGAGAAACCTGGGAGAGACTAGTGGCATGACCAGGAGGAAGAAGCAAACATGAGTATTTGTGAGCACCGGCAGTCTCTGACACCATGCTAATAATCTCTTCAGCTCTGATGTACTATTTTATCTTTGGCTGTCAAGATTAAACAGCCATATTCTTAGTCAGGAAATCGTCTTCTATGGACAGTGCTAACCAGCCCATGCTAACTTTGTCTTTCAGCTTCTCGATTTCCTCTCCTTCAATGACGTAATCATATTGGACTTGCTAGCACTATGAGGCTATTGTCAGGTCTTGCTTTCAGAGTGGGATTCACCCCATCTCCTCCAAGAGCTATTACTTTTATCTGATTGGTTCTCAGAGGTTTTACTGGGTTAGAATTTTACAAAAGAAATTTTAATATAGAACTTAAGGGGATATCAAATTTTCTTTTGTGAAATTCCAACCCTGTTCTACTCTCTCAGGATAAAAAAGCTTTTCAATGACTCAATCAAGGCAGTTCAGCAGGCCTCTAGATTCCAGGTAATATGTGGTAGGGGCAACAGGATATTAGTCTGTGGGGTACATCTGGAAGACCTGTGAGAACTGATCAGAGAAAAGCAAAATCTCTTTGAGTAGACAGAGTAGATCCCCAAATGTCTGTTAAGGAATTTTCTTCTCTTCTATGAAGTTAGATTTCTCTGCTTATTTTCCCATGCTAGAAAACAGACAGTGAGAGAGTTCTACGTCCAGACTAGAGAACTATACAACCAACATATGGTTGTGTCTCCTGGCAGGTTCTCTTCTACCTAATCCTGCCTAAAAGGCCGTCGCTGCGTAGCTGACACACCTGCTTCCCTGTGGGCAGAAAGAGCATATCACACAGAGCGGCAACTGTGGAGACTGTGAGATCTACTTTATTAGACAGCATTAATGTAGGCATGTTACAGGTACTCAGCCACAGAGTCTAAAGTTGTCGATTTTTAGCATTAAGTCTTGATTCTCTCCTTAGTATCATTCTGTCTTGCCTCAGACTTGCAGATCCCAAAGTCTGAGTTGATAAAATGAGAATGATATTATCTGGTTAGCATGAGGCACAACTTTGGACATCCTCAAACTCTTTCTGCCTCTTCCTTTCCCTTCTCCCAGTGGCAGCCCCATAGCCAATACATTTTTCCTTGGATAAATTAAAATGCACTTGTGAGATTCTTCTTGTTAAATGCCAATTATGTTTGCAAGTTGTATGCACATGGCCAAAAAAGATATTTTGTTGTGGGCATTCAGGGAGCACAACATCTTTTTCCAAATGTCATGAAAAAGTCTAGGATTACAGGATACTACTCTGCTCCGGAAAGAAGAGTCTACTCTCACCAAGGAATAGGAGAGTAATGAGCTGTTATTAGTTGCTGTGATCACCCGAAACTTGAGAAAAAGAGTTCAAAAAGACTCTAAGCTTTCCCCCAAGTTCCTTGTAATTGTCTACCCACATTTACTTTCAGATATTCCTTTCATTGTCTGCTTACGGACGTAGACCTAGCCTCGGTAATGGCCTATACTAGTCACAGTAACAGGCCTGGGGATCCAAAGCTGGTTAGGAAGAGGCAGGAGAGGCCAGAATAAATGCCAAGTGGTCAGTAGTGAGGAGAGGGTGACTGGGAGCTCATCTTCTCCAGCAAGAGAGAATTCAACAACTCATATCTCCAGGCAATGATGGGGGTGCTTGGCTCTGAGAGCAAGGCCTAGGCACAGTGTTCAGACTCCTGCTGAAGGGCTGAGGGAGTTGTGGCTAAAGCCTACAGGACCAGAGCTCATGCTGGGCCAATTAGGGCCCATGAGAAAGTAAAGGACACTCAGGGCCCATAGGGGTCAGGTCAAGCATCAAGGCTGCTTTTCTGTAAAGAGAAGAAGAATGTACAGTAAGGACAGGGAAATGCCAAAAAGGGGTTATTTCATTCAAGCTCAAAGAGGCTAAGAAAGAAGAGTGGATCCCAGAATAGGGAAGAGACCCTCCCAGAGCCTAATCACGCACACATTCCACAGCAGTGGGAGCCAAGTCAGAATCTGGCGCAGTATTCTAGGGACTTATTCACCAGCTTCCATGTGAATCACAAACAGTATTCACATATATTAATGCATCTTATCCTCACACAATCACAAAATTCTTCAAGGCAAATGAGACAAGCGTTTCCCTATTTTGCAGATGAAAACACTGTGGTCCTGAGCAGTTAAGTGACTATCTAAGATTACATAACCTCAAAATAGCAACAGCAGGGCTCAAACTCTAGTCTTCTGTCACTAAATCCCTCCTTTTCTGGGTATTAGCTGCTCCTCACATCCTTGGTCAACTATCAGCTCTGACCTAGTTCCATAGCTGGGTGTTTAACCAAGTAGCCCTGCACAGCCAGCTTCCTACCCTGACTACGAAGCTGGACTTCAGACCTGTGGCTCTCTTGAGTCAGCCACCCAGGGGCTGCACTTGCATTTCCTGGCTCAAGTTGGGAGAAGGCTTCTTCCTTGAAGAGGTCTACAGTTCAGGGCTGGTATCCTGGCCTCTCTGAAAAGACTGTCTCATGGGCATTCCCAAAGAGCCCGCTACCCCAGCCTCATGCCCACAGATTAATTTAAAATCTGGGGAGTGACAACAGATAGAACGGCATGAAACAATCTTCCATAGTTTAAAATTAGGGTTTGAGGGTTGGGGTCTTCTAACAGAACTAACCCTCAGTTAAAAGTCAAGACTGGTCATTTTAGTTCTACTCTATCATTTGACGGCAATTTTTATGTTTTTCACAAGTCGCTTATTTTTTCTGACTCTCACTTTCTTCGTGTTTCATATAAGGATGTTGATCCAATAATTTTCAAAACCCCTCTTGCTCTCACATTCAATAACTGTATGGTATGGGTTTTTAAATTATTATTCTATTCATTACCAGAACACCTCGATTATATCCCTTGAAGCGCACGTAAAGTAGGTGACTACTGTGGACAGCTATATGGGACTGGTAGAGCTACCCTCATCCCAGAGTTCACCCTCACCACCCCTTCCTCACTGCCCTCCACGCCAGTCCTCATGAACTCCATCTACAAGACTTACCTGAACAGATTACAGCCACATCTTCCTTGTGGTTGCAGTTGTGATATCCCCAGAACCTGTGCCTGCACTGCTCCAGGGACCTCTCCTCCCCTGAGCAATGAACATCATCCAGCCAGATGCGGCCAACCCCAGGGCCAAAGCTTCTCCGGGCTTTGACAGATGGAAAAAGGGACTCTCCACAGCCCAGTTGCTTGCACACCACCTGGGCCTCCATTTCTCCCCAGCCATCATCACAGACAGTGCCCCATTCGCCCTTGTGCAGCACCTGCAGTCTCCCAGAGCAGCTGTTGTTTCCTCCTACCAGCCTCAAGTCAAAGATTTCTGCAGGGCAGAGGAGGAAGTCAGGGGATGGAGAGAAGCATGGAAAGAAGAAAAAATAAGATCATCCCCCACATCCTCATTCAAATCCCATCAGCACTTTTGAAACTCTCCTCTGGTGTTTCTGTGATTATAGCCCCTTCTCTAGGTTCCAATCCGTGTGGTCCAGGTCCATTCCCTAACTAAGATCTTTTCATTTTCCCATCCATTTTACAAAAATCTAATATTTATAAGTGACTATCTAGTGGTTTTTAAAAGCTGAATTCAACAAGTACATGGAATGTTGTGCCTTGCCTCTATTCTATAGAATTCAATATAACAATAGTTCACTTTGATAAAGTGTTTAAAGCATTTTCAGATACTAAGGCAGATATTATCTTCTCTATTTTAAAAACAAGAGAATTGATGATTGGCACAATTAAGTAACTCTGTCATGGTCACTTGATGCATGAGTAGTTCTTGTAAACATTGGTTGAATGGAATTCCATTTAATCAAATTTATGAATGAACCAAGTCTCTTGGCTCATAGGCATTACCTTCACATTCGACACACATGTCCTCATCATGGGTGCAGTTGTTCTTCCCCCAAAGCCCAGAAGGGCAGTCCTGAAGCTGTTCTTCTTTTCCTGAGCATGACACATTGCTCAACCAGATGGGCCCTTGGCCCCGGATATTTTCCTTGCAGCAGCTATGGGTCAGTATGGCCCTCCCACAATCCAGCTCACGGCACACCACCTTCGCGTCTGAGAGGCTCCAACCTGTTTTGCACACTGTGCCCCACTGCCCGTGGTACTTCACCTCCACTCGCCCCTTGCAGCGCCCAGGGCCACCAGCCAGCCTAACGCTCTCTGGGAAAAGAAAGAGAAAGTGTCTGTTTCCTACAAGATCACAGACTTCCCAGAAAATGTACACATGCCCAATGTACACATCTCTCTGTTCTTTGTCTTTAGTGCAATGTATACTAGAGTACTCAGCACTGACTAACAGATGCTTGTTAAAAGAATGGATTAGTGAATCAATGAAGTGAATGTTATTTCATAGTTCCAAGTGGAATCATTAATTATTTCTGTGGAATCTGTTATTTTCCAAATTATTTTCACATTCAAATTCTCATTTGTTCCTCATAAGAGGCAGGTAGAGGCATTGCATAGATTTAAAAAAACAATAATAAAATACAATAATAACATACGTGATGGGTCCAAGACCAAAAATTTTTGGCTCAATTTCAGCATTATCACCCAAGTATCCCAGGTTAGTACTCCACACTCTCAATCTTTCTAAGAAATAGGAATGAGACCTCAGTGTCAGGGCGCAAAGATTTAGTGATTGTTTCCTTGGTAACACACTGGACTGACAAAGAGAAGAGGTGGACCAGTGTCTCAATCAAATCACACTCTAATGAGGGAGAAAGTGTACACAGAGAGGGGAGAAATTATTAATACATAGAAATTATTAATACATAGAAAAATTATTAATACATACATATAATACATATACGAAGAGAGGAAAGGACTACAACAACATTATATATATATATAGTTGTGCTGTGTTGGTTTCCTATGAGCATCTCTTGTCTACCTAACTAGATGGTGGACTCCTTGAGAATTGTAAAAGCATACCTTATACTTTGCAAGCACATTTCTTTCCCATAACTCCACCACAACCTCCAGATATAGGGTACACTATTTAACAAGTATTTAGAGGTTGATGGATCTGTTGAATGTTTGTAAGTGCGTAAAGAAGAAAAGCAGGTTCTCATATAGATTGAAACTAAGAAAAAAGCATTAGATCAACCAAGCGGGAGTCACGATTCTAGGGGAGGAAAATGTTTGTCTCCAGAGCCCACAGTTGAGTAAGCATGAGATGTGAAGGACAAGGAGCCAATTAGCCCTTGTGTGAAAGTCCTTGGTGGGGAACAAAGAAAAACAAGAGTGGTCATGTGGGGTATGAAGAGTTGGCAGATAGTCCTTGAGCCCTGCCATACTTACTTTCACACGACGCTCTTGCAACCTTACTGTATGAGCAATCCAAAGCATCTTGAAGCTCACATTGAGACAGTTGATGTTCCATCCCATTGCAATTGACCTTTTGGATGAGGATTTTTTTCTCTTCTTCTGTTGATGGTTTATATAGAATACCACTGGGTGTCCCCTTGGCTTCTCCACAGCCAAGCTCTCGGCATACCACACCCACGTCTTTCATGTCCCAGCCATCATCACACACGGCACCCCAGCCACCTTCATGTTCCACCTCCACCCGCCCTTCGCAGCGGTGGCGGCCTCCCACCAGTCGCACTCTGAATGAAGGTTCTGCAAAGAAATGGAACATCGGCTGGAGATCTAGGAGGAGCCCAGAGAGTGCTCAAGCAGGTACTCAAACATCTTGGAACTGTTCCACCATTCACAGAGGGTGTGAAAACTTGGGGCGTGAGAACGGAGGGATCAAAAGGGAAGGAGAGAAGAGCTTCAGGACCCCATCTCTGAGTCCTGGTCTTGCAATACTCTTAATTGTATCCTACCAAGAACTCCACTTCAAGACACCTCGATATGACTGCTGGCTTTTGAGTTTGAAAATTAGGAGAAAGAGCATCGTTGAACACCTAGCCGTTTTTAGAATCTCTGGTGGTCAGAGATGGAAGGACCTACAGGGATCGTCAAGTCCACCCCACAATTTCACAGATGAGGAAAATGATCCTCATGAAAGTGAAGGTCATATGGTCCCACTGTCAAATCGTGGAAGGCTCAGGTCAGAACACGAGTGTAGAGATAATATCGGTTTTGTTCTTTCTTCTTCATGATATTGTCTCTGCCCATGGCAGCCGGATGGAGGCAGAGTGTCTTGTTATAATTTGGCCTGAACAGCCTGACCCTCTCTCTCCCAATATCAATGATCTACCCCTACCTTCCTTGCTGCATCCTATGATATTTTACCACATCCTAGAACCCAACTCAGAAGTGATTGTTTCCTTGTTAACAAACTGTGCTGGCCAAGAGAAGATGTGGACCAGTCTCTCAACCAAATCGCAGTCTAATGAGGGAGAAAGTGTACACAGAGAGGGGAGAAATTATTAATACATAGAAAGCAAATATGTGAAGAGAGCAAAGGAATACAACAACACTATATATGTATATAGTTGTGTTGTGTTGGTTCTCTATGAGCATCTCTTGTCTACGTAACTAGATGGTGGACTCCCTGAGAATGGTAAAAGCATACCTTACACTTTGCAAGCTCATTTCTTCCCCATAACTCCACCCCAAGCTCCAGATATAGGGTACACTATTTAACAAATATTTAGTGGTTCATGGATTGTGCGTGCTCGTATGTGTGTAAAGAAGAAAAACAGGTTCTCCTATAGATTGAAACAAAGAAAAAAGCATTAGTTCAACCAAGAAGGAGTAACGATTCTAGGTGAGGATAATGTTTGTCTCCAGAGCCCACAGTTGAGTAAGTGCGAGATGTGAAGGACAGGGAGCCAATTAGCCCTTGTAGAAAGTCCATGGTGTAGAATAAAGACAAACAAGAGTGGTCATGTAGGGTATGAACAGCTGGTAGATAGCCCTTGAGCCCTGCATACTCACGTTCACACAAAGCTCCTGCAGCCTCACTGTATGAGCAACTAAAATTATCTTCCCTCTCACATTGAGACAATGTATCCTCTGTCCCAGTGCAACTGACGTCTTGGATGAGGATTTTTTGCTCTTCTTCTCTTGATGGTTTATATAGAATACCACTGGGTGTCCCCTTGGCTTCTCCACAGCCCAGCTCTCGGCATACCACGGCCACGTCATTCAGGTCCCAGCCATCATCACACACGGCACCCCAGCCACCTTTCTGTACCACCTCCACTCGTCCTTCGCAGCGGTGGTGGCCTCCCACCAGTCGCACTCTGAATGAAGGTTCTGCAAAGAAATGGAACATCGCTGGAGATTTGGGAGGAGCCCAGAGAGTACTCAAGCATGTACTCGGTCATCTTGGAACTCTTACACCATTCACAGAGGGTGTGAAAACTTGGGGCATGAGAAAGGAGGGAGCAAAAGGGAAGGAGAGAAGAGCTTCAGGACCCCATCTCTGAGTTCTGGTTTTGCAATACTCTTAATTGTACCCTACCAAGAACTCCACTTCAGGACACCTAGATATGACTGCTGGCTTTTGAGTTTGAAAATTAGGAAAAAGAGCATCGTTGAACACCTAGCCGTTTTTAGAATCTCTGGTGGTCAGAATTGGAAAGACCTACAGGGATCGTCATGTCCACCCCACGATTTCACAGATAAAGAAAGTTATCCTCATGAAAATGAAGTTCTTATGGTCCCACTGTCAAATCGTGGAAGGCTCAGGTCAGAACACGAGTGTAGAGATAATATCGGTTTTGTTCTTTCTTCTTCATGATATTGTCTCT